CTAGCCATTTTCGTGTGGATTAGAGCTCTCACCTTCGATCATCGTTCCTGATCGGAGCTGAGTCATCAACCGAGATATGGCCTCAAACCAGCTAAATTCCAATCTCTTTCCACCGGATCTGAGAATCCTTGCCGTGAACTTTCCAAATCTAATCTCGGTAAACAGATCAAGATTCTTCAGATCCGATTCCAATCTCTAAAGATCAATTAGAACGAACACTCTACAAGACAAACTGCAATCTCGTCGTTCTGAATTCACCTTCTAGAGATCAAGCTTCTCTTACATGAATCAGTCGTGATCGAATCAATCTTCATCGTTCCCACGGACGGCGCCATTGAAGATGCAAGAAAACTACTCTCAATTTAGAAAGAATTATTCTACTCTTCAAATATTTTCCAACCCCTTTTCCCTGTATTTTCAGTCTATTTATAGACTATTACAGATTTTCCAGAAGCTTCCTAACTAACTCCTTGCACTGGAATGTTCTTCTGGGCACAATTCCTTCAATCTAAAGTTGGGCCTCCAACCTGATTTCCCGGTCTTGGGCTTGACTAATGAAGACTCGGTCCAGTACGGTTGTCCTTGTCTAACCCACCCTTAACCACCCGGATCGTACTCGGCCCAGGTCTTTTTTGGTATCCTCAATCACATATCAGTTACTCCCTCATTAACTTTGTCAAATACTCTGTTAGTAGCATTACCAAACAATTAAATTGTAGTGTAACGTTATTTCCCTCTCATTGTATTTTTCAGGATCTGGTGTCGAAAAGGACGATTGGCAGTGGGCGTGAAATGGACGGTTTATACCTGTTGGATGCTCCTTTGTCACCTCAAGCACATTCAGCTTCATTTTTTAATATTGTTTCATCTTATAAAGCCCAGCTTATGCGTTGGCACATGCGTTTAGGACATATTTCTTTTGGTTATTTGAAACATTTATTTCCTTCCTTATTTTGTAACGTGGCAGTGTCAGATTTATCCTGTGAAACTTGTCATATGGCTAAACATGTTCATTCCAATTATCCTGCTAGTAGTAATAAATCTGCTTTAACACCTTTTGATCTTGTTCATTCAGATTTGTGGGGTCCTTGCCCAGTTACTTCTAGTCTTGGATTTCGATATTTCGTGTTGTTCATTGATGATCATAGTCGTGTTACTTGGGTTTATCTTATGAAAACCAAAAATGAGGTATACACCATTTTTAAAAATTTTATGACGATGGTTCAGACTCAATATGGTCGTGCCATTAAAAAATTCAGATCTGACCAAGGTACAGAGCACACTTATGAGGAGGTACAACGGTTATGTATAGGAATTTGGGATTGAGCATCAGATGGCTAATGTTAAAACTCCTCAACAAAATGGTCATTCTGAGAGAAAGAATCGCCACATCCTTGACTTATCCAGAGCAATCTGCATTGCCATGAATGTTCCCCAGTCATTTTGGGGAGATGCAGTTCTTACCGCTATTTATCATTAATAGGACTCCTTCTAAGATTCTTAACTTTGCAGCCCCATTCTCAATCTTACATCCCAATTCAACTCTTTTTTTGATTCCTCCGCGAGTCTTCGAGTGTGTGTGCTTTGTTCAGCAGTTGGGGCAGACTCGTACAAAGCTTGACCCAAAGGCTTTGAAGTGTGTGTTTTTGGGCTATTTTCACCCTCAAAAAGGTTATAGGTGTTACCATCCTCCCAATCGTCATGTTTCTTTCTTTGAGCATACACCATATTATAGTGGTTCAGTTGGTTCTCAGAGTGAATGGTTCCCATTGAATATAATGGATGGTCACCTTCTTCCGTCTTCAACTCCTCTACCATTACCTGTTTCTTCTTCTATGATCCCTCTTCATGATACCCCTCCAGCAAGGGGAATTGTTCCTTTTTCACAGGTTTATAGTCGGAGACAATAGGTTCAAGCTTCTACTCCCACGATCGACTGCCATGTTCCTTCGGCACCAGCTCCACCTTCTCAAGCTATTGTTTCGCTTGATGATCGCCCCATTGCTCTTCGAAAGGGTAAATGTGAGGTTGTATAGTGGGGATCCAAGCTCGTGACTCTTAGAGGATTACTCCTTTGTGTGTTTGGTGGTGTTTGTGGCTTGAAAGAAATAGAAGATCCTTTAAAGGAAAGGAAAATCATATTGGGTCATTGAAGTTCTCCATTCTTAGCACTCTTTTTTGTTGGGTGAGAGAAATTGTAAATCCTAGGATGAGCTTGTAGAGTTTTTGGATTTGTTAAGGGTTTAGAGGGCCCTTTTTGGCCTTTTGTTGTTTTTTGAGGGATGTTTTCCCCTTTTGAATGCTTTTACTGAATTAATACTTACAAAAATAAAAATTAAAAAAGGTATTTAAAATTTGCTCCAGAAAAGGTTTGCTATTCTCCAAACATGGCCATCTTGAAGTGGAAGGATATACAGATGTTGATTAGGCAGGATCTGTAATAGATTGAAGATCTAGGATACTGCACATTTGTGGGAGGGAATCTAGTCACGTGGCGTAGCAAGACACAATCTGTTGTGGCCAAGATCCAATGTTATTTTAGGCGAATGTGTCGATTCTAGATTGAGCAGCGGGGTGTCTGGGGTTCTTTGCAAGCTTGATATTGAGAAAGCCTATGATCATGTGAATTGGAAGTTCTAAATCTATCTGATGGAGAGGATTGGTTTTGGAGAATGGTGGAGAAGGTGGATTCAGTTTTGCATCTCTACTATCAGATTCTATGTTTTGGTGAATGGATCTCCAACTGGTTTCTTTAATAGTTCGCGAGGTTTAAGATAGGGAGGTGGTCCTCTTTCCCCCTTTTTGTTCCTTATTGTGATGGAGGCTCTTAGTAGGATGTTGAAAAGTGCAGTAGAGCTATGCTTCTTTAGAGGCTTCAGGGTGGGAAGGGATCCTCTGAGTCAGCTGGAGGATTTCTCATTTAGTGTTTGTTGTTGATACTCTAGTCTTTTCTGATGCTGATGATTCCCGGATGAGATATTTGAAATGTGTGTTGATCTGGTTTCAAGTTGTTTCTAGGTTGAAAGTTAATGTGGGGAAGAGCGTCATGGTTCCCGTTGGGGAGAACCCTCATATTGCTTCTGTTGATGATACTTTTGGTTGTAGTGTCGGCTCCTTTCCCATCACATATTTGATATTACCTTTGGGGGAGTCTTCGAGGAGAGCAGGCGGTTGGGATCTGGTGGTTGAAAGGTTTAAGAGGAGGCTCGTAAGGTGGAAGAAGCAATATTTCTCTGAAGGTGAGAGGGTTACCTTAATGAAAAGTACTTTGTCAAGCCTTCCCACATATTTTATCTCGCTCTTTCGGATTCCTTCTTCATTGGCAAAAAGGATTGAGCATATTCAGCGGAATTTCCTTTGGGGTGGCATAGGAGAGGAATTCAAGTTTCATTTGGTGAATTGGGAACAGGTTTGTAGCCCAATTCATCTATGAAGTCTGGGTATTGGAAGGTTGTAGCCTCTTAGTAAGGCTTTGTTGGGGAAGTCCTTATGGAGGTTTGGAGTGGAGAGAGTGAGATTGTGAAGGAGACTAATTGTTTGCCAATTCAGGGAGGAGAGAGGTGGATGGTGCTCTCGTGAGGTTAGAGTGCCAGGTGGAGTCAGGGAATGGAAATTCATTCAAAAGTGGTGGGATGAATTTCCAAAAAATTGAATTCCGGGTTAGGGATGGCAGGGGTATCAGAATTTGGGAGGATATTTAGTGTGAGGATCGCTCTCATGCTTGCTCCTTCCCCAGGAGCTTTAGGATTTTTACGAATAAGCACCCCTTGGTGTTTGATTGCTATTGGCTTGTTAGTGGGAGTTTGACTTGGGATGTGCTCTTTACAAGGAGTTTTCAAGATTGGAAGTTGGAGCCCATTGGGTTCTTAGAGCGTTTATATCCTCAGGAGGGGGCGGGTGTTGGTCCTGATCATAGGGTATGGATTCCCTCTTCTCAGGGTCGATTTGAGGTTCGGTCTCTTTACAGATGCCTTTCAGATGTTCCATGGGTTCTTTTCATGTGGAGAGCAGTTTGGAGATCGAAGGCCTCTCATAAGGTGGCATTCTTCCTGTGGACAACTGTGTTGGGCAGCATTTTGACTTGGGATAATTTGGGAGGAGGAGACAGGTTGTCGTCAGTTGGAGTTGCATGTGCAAAGGAGATGAGGAGACAGTGGACCATCCAGCATTGCCGTGTGGCTCGGTATAGTTGGGGTTTACTTTTGGGGCTGTTTGGGGTTCATTGGGTCATGGCAGGTCCCCTGAAGCTTTGGTGGAGGCTTGGAGAGGGTGTACGGTGGGTGCCCAAGCTCAGGATTTTTGGAGGGTTGCGCCCTTATGCGTCTGGTGGCATTTGTGGTTAGAGAAGAATAGGATATCTTTGGAAGGAAAGGAGACTCCTATTGGGACTCTTAAGTTCTCCATCATTAGCACCCTTTTTTGTTGGGTTCTAGGGAGAAATTGTATATCTATGGAGAAAATTGTTAATATTTTGGGCTCCGAGTGTTTAGAGGCCCCATTTGGCCTTGTGTTTCTTTTGTGGGATGTGTCCCCCTTTTGGGCGCTTCAATTAAATCTTACTTATCAAAAACAAAAAGAAAAGACCCAAAAATATCAGTGGGGGCAAGGATATATAGTGTCGTATTTTTAAAAATTTAGTGGGGGCATTTATAAAATTTTAATAAAAACTATGGGACATAATGTAAATAAAAAAAAAATGTCAGTGGAGGTGGCTGCCGCCACTCTGCCCTTGACAGGTCCGTCCCTTTTAGTGTGCTACTTTATAAAACGTTGATTTTGCAAATATTGTAAGTTATATAAGGAATTTCACAAAATGATATAATAGATGGGTTTTTTCGGAAGTAAAATAATATTAAGAGTCTACATTTGTATTTTTGGACTCCCCTTTCTATAAACAAGGAAACAAAACAATTGTCCTAAATTATGACTCATAACTGCAGAAGCATCCCGTGCACAGCACTGACATGTCATCAAACCTCAAGCTCTTCGCTATATCATACCTTTCATTCAATAAAACTTCCCGCTCTTTTCGGTCTAGTGCCTCAAACCGTGGATCATGGCCCCATTTCCTTTTAAATGAATGATAGTCCGTGTTTTGAGCAATATCCTGAAAGATGGAAAACTGGTCAGAAAGCAATCTCTTGTCCCCACAGTTCAAAAACCAAAAACAGTGATAAAGGAATTATAACAGAAACAGATGACAATCATGACACCAAAGGAAATTGCATGAAACCTCCTTTGCTTCATCCAGTAACTGCTTGAACCCCTCCATCGCCGCTTTCTGAGCTGCTCTTTTTTCCTTGCGCTCTTCTTCAGCACGTGTCCGAACATAGTGCTCAAAAAGGGCTCTCCGAGCATTGTGATTAGGAATAGCCTGTAACAGGAAAAACCCATCACAACAAAAAAAGTAAAAACCTTAATAAAGTAAATTCACAGGAGAGATCCATAATATCCAACAAAAAAGGCCAGAATGCCAGAACCCTAACGATTGCAACGAAACAATTGCACAAAAGCCCAGCCCCAGTTCCTATGATAAACGAGAAGCAACATGATAATAACAATATAAAATCCCGCGGACATATTAAGAGAAAACGGTACAGACTATAGAGAGGGTGACAAGATTAAGATGGAAAGAACAGCTTCAAAGGTGAAGGTAATACAAAAGTGATATTGTGGAAAAGAGTCAAAAAAGTAAACAAGGGGTACAAGCACTACGCCATTCAAATATTAAATTTACCTATTTTTGTGAATTAACCAAAAAAAAAAAAATGTAGGTTGCAGAAGAAGGAAGAGGCAGCCTTCAACAGAAAACAAGAACACAACTGAAAAATAAATGATAAACAAAGTTAAGTTCCCATAAGAAACTACCTAAATGGGGATGAAAGGGCTTTAGCAAAAGGTTTTATCCCAAGTAGCTCCCTCTTTTAGTTGTTTCTACCTGAAAATTCCACGATTCCTCCCACACTACCCAAACAGATGAAACAATGCCAATACTAGCAGCCACCAACCATAAAATTGGAGATTTACCTGTCTCCATTAGTGAACCTCCAAAATAATACCATAAAATTGATTTCTTTATTTTTGGACATGACCTCTATCATCTCATACTAGGGAGATATGTAGAATCATCACATTGCTCCTCATAGATAGAGAATTATCAAGTTATTAGAATTTGCGGTGACTCTCAGGTTCTTGACTAATATAATTCTGTGAGGCCCTTTTTGGCCAGTTGCATTGAAATGATCACTAGAAGGGGAGGAAACTGTAACAAATTGATATAGGAAACATAGCCAGCTGATAGAGATTGGTTTGATTAGATGACGCCAAAGATGTGAAATGGTCATTAAACTATCAAGCACTTGCATCCAATTAAGAGAAACATGAGTGCAACAAAGATGAGTTTTGGATTAGCATTGTTAGAACCAATCGTTGACATGTAGGAGAAGTGTTTACAGTATTTATCTTGTGGAAGATCAGACAATGAGCAACCATGTAACTAGCTCTAATACCCCTAAAATATTTGAATTTAGTTTTTAAAATATCTTATCTGAGGGTCAAAAACGTAATATTGGGAATCGTTGAAGCTTGTGTGTGAGTTTAGTGTTAGATTAGAAGAAGAAGAGAAAAGGAAGGAGAGAAATCTGACAGAAAAGAGGTTTGTATAGTAAAAACCCTACACCCCTCACACTTATATATTAAGATAAGAAAAAGTACAATAATACCCTGACTATTACAATAATGGTATACAATACTGCCCTTCAAGCAGGAGCATACAAATTAAACATAGTGGGAGTGAAGCTAAGGATGCTTGGACAGGTGCCTCTCTTTGATTTGGAGTCTTTTGCGGGAGAGAAATAGGAGGTCCTCTGATGGAGAGGAGAATCCTATTTGGGTGCTCAAGTTCAATATTTCAAGATCTTAATTATTTTGGACACGTGGTCAATACTGTATATCTATGGAGGAGCATGTCTTTTGTTAATAGTCTGAGGATATAGCAGATCTTTTGATCTTTTTTTATTATTATTTTGTAGTGGGATGCGCTCCTTTCTTTATATATATGTTTTACTAATATAAGTAAATAAAAGACTTCTAAAGTCCAAGCATAGTAATTCATAACCTTTACTTCAACAAACCTTAAAACGAGGATCAAACACTATCTTTGGAAGTTCTTTATCCCACTTTGAGAATGGTGCCACCCCACGTTCCTTAAGCATCTCCTACAAATTTCACAGAGAACAAATAATTAATTAAATAATCATTAACAATTCTCACCAGGAACAACTGTAAGCCTAGAACAAAGACAATTACTTAGTCATTAACATTTCTCACCAAGAACTAGAACAAAGGCAATTATGTAGCCCAAAAAATAATAATAATAAAATAAAATAAAATCACACAAACATTTATAAATAAATAAATAATTGCAAATACAAATGGAAACATTGAGAATAAGCATAAGCATCATATACCTAAAATAATACATCACACAATTCGACCATTAAATTTTGATTCTACTAAGTACGAAATTAATGTGGATCAGGTGTGTCCCCATCATAACTTCACATAAGTACACATAGCATACTTACGATTAAGAATGAAGTTTGTGGTAGATATTGAACTTAAAGGAATTAAGGTAGCATCTTCTGAAATTGAGAGAGAGAGAGAGCTGCAAGATAAGGTTTAAACAAAAATTGCATACTAGAACTACAATAGTAATTTAGAACTAATAAAGAAAACCTTGGAAAAAGAAAGATCAATCTAGAAAATGTATGAACATTGTAGAATCCTGAAAAGAATAATGAAAAACGAAAGCCCCAATAATTAAATAATGATCACATAAATCTATGGCTTGAATACTCGTTTTGCTTATTTCCCTTGTTCGAGTTGGAAGAAAGGGCTACTTATCAAAAAAAAAAAAAAAAAAAAAATTAGTTGGAAGAAAGGCCTACAAAGTTTAATGAAACTTCTCTACTACCAATTTTGCCCTTAGTTTTATAGAAGACAAAATACCATATGAGTCCTAGGGCTTGTTTTTCTCTCTTTAACCCTTTCTTTGTATTCAAATTGTCACTTTGGCTTGAATAATGTTTAGCACAATCTTTATATTTGTCTACCCACTTCTTACATATATATTTGTTTTCTAAATGTGAAACGGTAAAGTGGTAATTTTGTTAAAATAGTTTCATTTCCTTTCTTTCCCTAAACATGATTTAAGGGCCAAGACTATCATTTCCTTTCTTTTCCCTCATAAATCAACCAAACACAATGAGAGGTTAACAATATCCTTTTCTTTCTTTTCGTTTCTAACTAATGTTATCCTTTCTTTTCTTTTCACTGTAGAAATGATGAGCAAATCTGTTATAGCTATTTTTTGACGAGGTAACGCCAACGAAAGGATATTCTATTAGGGGCTGTAAGTTGAGTGTTCAAGGTTTCAGCTAGGACTTGCAGCAGCGGTGGTGAAAGTTGTTGCCATGGGTTGTTGCAGATGGTGGTTGTGGCTATTACGATGACAATTAAGGTTAGGGTTTGTGCGTGAACCAGTTTGGTTGGATGGCAGAATGTGACGTAAGCGGAAGTGATAAATTTCTTCACAAGGAACGGTTTACTTTGAATCCACAAAGTAGGGAGTTTTGAATCCACAAAACGAAGGATAAATTCAAAGAAATCTGATGATAATTGAATGAATGATTCTGATCTCTGCATTACACATATTTATAATGAAAGAAAACTCTAATCCATAAGGAAACTAACTGCAACCCGAATCCTTATAACATAAGGAAACCTAATCCCGAAAGGAAACTAATACTCGAAAAATAGCCTAAAAATAAAGTTTCTCTAAAACTTCTGAAAAAATAGAGAAAGAAACCTAATAAAATAAAAATTAATAAATATAAAATCTAAGTGCAAGCCGAGTTCGTTTAGACAACAAACAAAAATCTCGAACATTCGACAGGCTTTTATAGGACAGAAATACCCCGTTTTGAGGCCCTAAACGAAAGTATTTCACTGAAAAACTGGTTACGTCACGGCCTAGCAGTGAGTCTTGCTCATTGTGCCGTTTTCAGTCAAAAAACTCTCCAGGTCAAACGCACACATTGGGATCAACCCAGAAAATCTATCAGCACGCCCTTTTGGCCCCCTGGCAGTCTAAACGAGCCACAAAGGCTTCAGCAATCAGTTCTATATCAGTCTCCCCTGTTTGAAAGAAACTCATCCCCGAGTTAAGGCTGAAAGAGCGCGTCTCATCAGGCGAATAGTACTCAAATAGATCTATAACATTAAATGTAAAAGAAATAGACATGCCTTCGAAAAGCTCAACAACATAAGCATTATCATTAATCTTCTTCAGAATCTGATGAGGCCCATATTTCTTGTTCTTCAATTTGTTGTAGGTACCAATTAGAAACCTCTCCTTCCGTAGAAACACCATAACTAAATCTCCTTCTTGAAAGACTTTCTTCCGCATCTTCTTATCTACTCCCTCCTTGTATTTCGCATTGGCTTGTTCAAGATGCTTTCGATCCTCGCCCTCCCTGGTGATCCAAACAGACCATAAAGGCTTCAGCAAGCAATCAGTTCTATATCAGTCTCCCCTGCTTGAAAGGAACTCGTCTCCAAGTTAAGGCTGAAAGAGCGCATCTCATCTGACGAAAAGTACTCAAATGGATCTGCAACATTAAATGTAAAAGAAATAGACATGTCTTCGGGAAGTTCAACAACATAAGCATTATCATTAATCTTCTTCAGAATCTGAAAAAAGCCCATATTTCTTGTTCTTCAATTTTTTGTAAGTACCAACAGAAAACCTCTCCTTCCGTAGAAACATCATAACTAAATCTCCTTCTTGAAAGACTTTCTCCCGCATCTTCTTGTCAACTACCTCCTTGTATTTCGCATTGGCTTGTTCAAGATGCTTTCGAACCTCGCCCTTGGATGCGATCTGCTATGTGGTCTACAACAACACTCTTTCTAGGAAGCTTTAGAAGTGGGACCAAATCCAACGCATGCTCCGATGGATGACAATAAACAATAGCGAAAGGCGACTTGCCTGTTGACTGATTAACCATGCTGTTGTATGCAAATTCTGCCTGTGATAACGCAAGATCCCACTGTTTTGGTTTCTCAACAGAAATACAAAGAATCAGATTGCCCAAAGTCCGATTAAGCACCTCTGTTTGACCATCAAATTGGGGATGACTAGTACTACTGAAATTCAAAAATGTATCAAAATGCCTCCACAAAGACCTCCAAAAATGGGATAGGAATTTGGTGTTATTGGAAATTGTGTATCAAATTCCTATTCTAATTAGGATTCTATTTTAGAGTTATATTCTGTTAGGTAATTTCTTGTTTGGCAAGTCTTGTCCAACAAGTTATTGGGATTTGAACTCTATAAATAGATACGTAGGCTTTGAATTGAGACTTATAAGATTGAGAGAAATGTAGTCTCGTAAGGAAGTTGATGGGTAGAGGTAGTATGTGGGTTGGTAGAGTAGGAAAAACACCCGGTAGCGAGGAAATAGGCTCGTGGAGTGGTAGTGTTGGTACTCTATTGGTGTAATATCTCTACAAATCATAGTGGAATCTCTTCTCATCCATGGACATAGGCTGGTTTTGGCTGAACCATGTATATCATTTGTTTGTGTGTGATTGCCTTGTTGGCCTTCTTTGAATCTTTCTTATTCGTGCGCTTTCGCTATCCCAACTTGGTATCAGAGCCAAAGGTGAAAGAGATTCAGAAAACACAAGAAGTCTCAACATGTGTTGCAACGGGCTTCAGTTGTAGGTGGAGTCAATCAGTTTGGTTACATGGCATGGAGCTCGAGTAGTCAAGGTGGAGCCTTGGAGGTTTGACTGATCGAGCAACGTAAAATGTGGATTATCGGAGTTTTGCTGGAGTATCGTCAAGATTGAAGGTGCAAAAGAATTGTCCTAATCAATGCCATGGGAAACGATGATTGGCTAGATGGAATTTAAGCCAAGGTGGAGATTATTGGAAATTGTCTCAAATTCCTATTCTAATTAAGATTCTATTTTAGAGTTATATTCTGTTAGGTAATTTCTTGTTTGGCAAGTCTTGGCCTCTAAGGAATTGTAATCCTTGTCCAACAAGGTATTGGGATTTGAACTCTATAAATAGATACATGGCTTTGGGTTGAGACTTACGAGATTGAGAGAGATGTAGTCTTATGAGGGAGTTGATGGGTAGAGGTAGCATATGGGTTGGTAGAGTAGGAAAAGCACCAGTAACACTGGTTGCGAGGAAATAAGCTCATTGAGTGGTGGTGTTGGTACTCTATTGTTGTAATATATCTACGAATCATAGTGGAATCTCTTCTCATCCATGGACGTAGGCCGGTTTTGGCTGAACCATGTATATATTGTGTTTGTGTGTGATTGCCTTCTTGGCTTTCTTTGAATCGTTCTTATTCGTGCGCTTTCGCTACCCAACAGGTGTCATGATCTAACGTAATGGACTTAGGAACCCCATGAAGACAAATAACTTTCTTGAAGAACAGATTTCCAACATGTGTAGCATCAGAAGTCTTCTTCCAAGCTATGAAGTAAGCCATCTTCAAATAACGATCAAAAACTACGAAAACAGAATCTGCCCCTCGTTGTGTGCATGGATATCTGTCACGGGTAAATTCTGAACACGAATCTAGGGCCCTGTTATAGCACTAAGCCAGAAATATGAACAACTTTTCTCTGAATTTCTAACTTAGCTCAGCCAACTCACACTTGCTGTCTAAAACACACAGCAAGTAAAACACTCTCACACACAAGTATAGTTGCAAGAATGTAAAGACAATAACACCCACGAATTTACAGAAGCACAAGGCTTCCAACCTTTTACTATTATTCACAAAACAGTATAAGGAAAGGCCTCAACCTGCAGAAGCATACAAGAGTCTCTCACAACACAACTCTGTGTCTCACTCTCAATCTGCCCTCTCTACAGAACCCACATTAGCAATATATAGGCAAACTCTCAAAACCGCCCACAATTGCCCACTAAAGTGGTGGATGACACCCCCATTCACCCACAACTACCCACTAAAGTGGTGGATGACACCCCCATCCACCTAGGGTCATGTTGGCACCCACTAAGTGTGCCAACACTACATATGTAGTTGACAAGCCCAACTACTAGCTTGTTGGCATGCTCTGCTCATGCCACGTGTCCACAGGAAGTTACACTCAGCATAGTGGA